GTATGAGTCAGGAATTTCTAAAATATAGCCCCTTTTGGCTCTTTGCCCTTCCTATTCTTAGTTACTAAGGTATATATTTTTCATTGTTTTTTTTTTTTGCTTTTTTTTGAGACGGAGTCTTGCTCTGTTGCCAGGTTGGAGTGCTATGGCGCGATCTCGGCTCACTGCAAACTCCACCTCCTGGGTTCAGGTGATTCTCCTGCCTCAGCCTCCTGAGCAGCTGGGATTACAGGCATGTGCCACCTTGCCTGGCTAATTTTTTTTTTTGTATTTTTAATAGAGACGTGGTTTCACTATGTTGCCCAGGCTGGTCTTGTACTCCTGACCTCGTGATCCTCTCGTCTCAGCCTCCCAAAGTGTTGGGATTACAGGCATGAGCCATTATTGTTTTATATTGCCTAAAGAACTAAAGAAAAAATAAGTCTGACCAATTACAGTCAAATGTTAAGACATTTGCCATGAAACTTCCCTTATGCAAAAGAAAACATAAAATCCTTAAATTTTTAGAACTTTCAGATCACTAAACTTTTGCTAGGGTATCCCTATCAATAATCTTTAATGACGTGTCTCATTTTTTCCAGGTTGACAGGTTGAGAGAGTCAACAGTGTACTTGGTGATGGCTGTTGCCAACATAACTTGTATAATTGTATTAAGAAAAAAATGTACAGGTGCTGGAGAACAAATGGAAGTCTCTGACAAACCAGCCAGGGGAGCAAAATTATAAGCTCTTGCTTTTGTTCAATTTGTACCACTTTCTAGATATCCATCAGAACTCCCTCAAGGTCCTCTCAGAATTAGTATCACCTTTCTTTAAATGAGCCAGTGAATATGCCAGTGTTATGCATAGAGATTGGCAAATAGTAGACACTTTACAAATGTTTGTATCTGACACAATTGCATTGTGTACACTTTTAATAAGCCTCTTAAGACATTCTGCTTGATGTTAGCATTGGTAGAAGATTTGTCTCTGCTAGGAAATTGTCAGCTTGTTCAGGGTGGGACTTGATTTTGTTTTCACACAACTCCTCCATTCTACATTGTTATGTCTCATGTTCAAGCTGTCTTGCATGGGCTTATTTATGGCTTTTTCCTCCTCCACTAGATTATGAGTTCTAGGAGGACTAAACTGTGTCGTCTTTATTTTTATGTTCCTCACAGTACCTAACACTGCTTGGTACATAATGAGTCTTTAAAAACTATGTGTTGAATTTGAGCGTTGTCTCCTCTGGGTAATTTTATTTTCAAAACATTCACTTTTGAATAGGACTTGTTTTATCACAGCAACTTATTTTGCAGATTAAGGAAACTGTGAATTAAACTAGAAGACATGAAAAACTTTAAAGGGCTGCTTCAAACTTCATTAGAGATTTCACAGGAACAGTACCGTATAGTAGAATGCATGCTTGTCACTTGATACCTAGTCATTTTCAGATTGTATTTTCTCTGAGAGGGTCACACACCTACCTCATTGGGCTTTTTTTTTTTTTAAATGCATATTTATTGTGATAAGAACACTTAATGTGAGATCTACCATATTAACACATTTTAAAACATACAATACATATTGTTAACTATCAGTACAATGTTAGACAGCAGATTGCTGGAGTTTATTCATCTTGTTTATCTGAAACCTTATGCCTATTGATTAGTAATTCACCATTTCCTCCTTCCTTGGGGTTTTTTTAAAAAATGAGAAAAAGAAGCCTTAAAGACTATATATATTTAAAAACCACAGATTCTTTATATGCAAATTTTGGCAGTGATCAACTTAAATTTACATACAAGAGAAAAGAACCCCTAGGAAGCTAAGCCAGGCATTTCAATCAGTCAAATGACTGAGCTTTTTGAATTCTCAAAGAGAACTGTTTATTCATTTAATTGGTTGCATATAGCTGATATCTGAGGCAGAAAACTTATCAGAAAAAGGTGAAAGGAGAGTGAAGGAAGTTTTAAAAACTACATGTTTCCTATTCTTTGACCGTCATTCCTAAAAAGTACCAATGTTGAGTTCTAGAAAGATTTAAAAAATTTCCCACTTGTTACATAAAATAGGCTCACATGTATAAAGTATGCTTTTAAAAGACATTTGGAATATATGCTTTCAATAGACTAGGTCTATAGCACTCACCTTCCAGAGTGGCTCAATCAAGGCTGTCTTAATTTCACTTCAGAATTGAGCATTGATTTGTTTGATTATTCTGTGAAGATAATAATTTGACATCATTGGAATGATCAAAATTAGCCCTTGAAGTTGGAAAGATTGGGACTGAAATGGGAGAGTTCCCTGACCCCCCTCACAGGATGTCAGGTGTGTCTCACCTGCTTGGCCGCTATGTGCTCAAACCTCTTACAGGAGGAGGAGCACTTAGATGGGCATGTGCAGGAGCAAGGGCAAGTGACTGTGGGCTCCAGGCCCACAGTAACCTCTAAGGGTGGGTGTCTGTGACTCTGGAAACCCCACTACATGTGTTACAGTGCTTTTTTCACTCTGCCTTCTGCAGATGGCTTAAGTGTTAACCAGCTCAGTGCCTTCTTGGTACCTAGGTCCTTGTCCACTGTCCAGGAAGAATCAGGTCACACAGACAAATTAAAGGATGATAAATGCAGGGGATTTTATTGCCAGATGGAGGTGACTTTCAGCGGGAAGGATGGGGAGCTGGAAAGGGGATAGAGTGGAAAGATGATCTTCCCCTGGAGTTCAGTCATCCGGTGGCCCATCTCCTTTCTGACCATCCCCAGCCGAACTCCTCTTGATGTTCAGACACTCCTTCTCCTCTCTCCTTCTGTGCCACACCACTGTTCTGCTCCTCTGCTCTTCTGCTCATAGATCCTGGGGTTTGGGGTTTATATGGGTACAGGATATGGGAGTGTGGTGGGCCAAAAGGCAACATTTGGGTGCGAATACAGGAATGCCTATTCCCATTTAGGGGTGTGGGTTTCCAGGCTTGAGGGTGGGGCCTTTGCTGGGGAACCACACTCTTCTATTCAGTATTTCCCTGTCTCCTGTCTGTATCAAAACCTTTTTGTTCATTGTCTCTGTAATCCAAAAAATCAGCTAGTTTTCCAAAGGTCAGAAAAGGCCCAGCCTAGAACACCCTCAGCAACTGATTCATTTAATCTCATATTGGAGATTTTGGTGTTTGAATGTAACCAAAATGCAAGTTAGTTGCTCACTGCATGTAGAGTCCAATTAACAAGACAGAGGTCTGATACAAAAAATGTGAATTTTTTCTGAAGTTAACTTGGAGGAAGGGTACAAAGTGTCCTGCCTTTAAATGTGGCACTTCATCTTTGGAGCAGAAAGTGGATATTTTTATAAGGTAAGAGGGGAAATTGAGCCAGAGCAGGGGACCCCTCTACTAACTCGGTGCCTTATCTACAGAACAGTTGAGATGACACCTTCCACGGAAGAAATAATTTGTAAAAGTGGCCAAGTAGGCATGCTTTTGACATGCCCTCCTGGTGAATGAAAGCCCTGAGGCAAGAGTGGAAGTTTGAAGGCAACCCCCTGGAGGTGAGACTTCTGTGGTGGGTATGCTTTGGTCTGCAAAGTGACCGTCGACTCTCAAGGAGAGAACTGTCTTGGAGCAAAGAGTTAGACGTTGCATTGCAGGACATGTCTGGTGAGGGAGATGAGAAAGAATACATTTGCATTTTTAAAGGGCTAAGTAGGAAGTGGGAAACCAGAAAACGAGAATGGAAGAGAAAGTAAAAAATAGTAATAATAATTAAACCACCTCTTAGAAAAGTGAGGGACACTCAGTTACATGAATAGGTTAAAATGTATGCAGTTTTCTCAAGAGCCATGAATAAAATTACAATTAGAAGCCAACAGTTAGCAGATATCTTCCCTGAAGAATTCATCTACGGAAAATCTAGTTTTGAGATCTTATGGATAAAGACCAATTCTGTCTTTGAAAAGGTACTTCTGTAGTATCAAAGTTAGACCTCATTCTATTCTGCTGATTGATCTGTCAAACATAATTTCTCATCTAAATTGAGACACTTGAGAGTGAAGGGTGCTCTGTAAATAAACACACAAAAATCACAATCATATTCCAGTGCTGTCTCAAGGCATATATGACCATCACACCAATAGAAATTCTCATATTATACCTAGTTCTATTACCACCTGTGCGAACCCAAAGTGTCTGAGACAGGTATCCGTCAATTTATGAAGTTTATTTTGCCAAGGTTAATGATGTGTCTGTGACACAGCCTCAGGGGATTCTGATGACATGTGCCCAAGGTGGTCGTGGCACAGCTTGGTTTTATACATTGTAGGGAGACAAGAGACATCAATCAATAAGTGAAGATGTACTTTGGTTTGGTCCAAAAAGGCAGGACAACTTGGGTTGGAGGGGGTGCTTCCAGGTCATGCGTAGATAAGAAACAAAGGTTGTATTCTTTTGGGCTTTGATTAGCCTTTCACTAAATACACAATCTACATGTGAGAAACGAGTAAAGTAATAGTCACTTATGTCTTAGTCTGGCTCAGTGAATTTGCATTTTTACATAAACAACAGGTCAGAGGAAGCAATGATACACATTTGTCTCAGGTGAGCAGAGGGATGACTTTGAGTTCTGTCCTTTGTCCCTCACCTGTGAAGATAAGCTATCAATTTACATTACCAGGGTGAAGTTCAGCAGAACTGTTTTAGGGTAAAGATCTTGAAGACCACAAGGAATTTCCTTGTGGGTTAATTGTGAGGAGGTATGTAGCTTTTTTTTTTTTTTTTTTTTTTAAGAGTTCATAACGTGCCTTTATTTTGTAATTTATAAACAACTTCTGACTTGCCCTTTGAAAGTTAATTATAATTGACAACTGCTTTTCTTAGATGCTTCTGAAGCCCAAGACAGGGGCAGAATGTAGTTCTTGATTTAAAAAAACAGAAAGGGAAGGAGGATGACCTTAACTACAAACAATATTCCACTGCAACATTATTGCTGTAAAACTTCCAAGCTGGCTGTTCTTCGAGATGCTCTCTTTTGATGGCTGTAGTGGCTGACAGTTTTATATTTACATGTTCAAAACAATTAATGCTTCCATTTATTCATTTATTCATAGATTCTCTGAGGTTCCCGTAGAACCACACCACCTTCTGTCATGGCACTTTGTAGTCCTTTCATCGAGTCTAAGGCTGCCTCCCATGGGGTTGGTTGGTAAACCATGAAGTTGATTCCCGCCTCTAAGCATCTCTGTGCCAGTACTCGTCCTATACTCTCACAAGCCACCACATTTCTGGTACTATAAAGGTGCTTTTTAATAGCCCATTCACGAGTGGATGCCGAAACCACAACCTTGCCGTTTTGATGCTCCACAAGTGCTTCTACATGACGCTGAGTCCTTATAACTCGCAACCTGTGCCAGAACTCACGGGAGGGCCGCACCGTCCTCCAGTCCGCTCTTTCCTGGCTACAGATAGAAGCTCCAGGTTCCGGGGGTTCCGATTGGTGAACTCTGGGGCGACAGCTTCATTTTCCGCAGGGTGCACTTCAGGTTTCACCGCCGGCTTGGAGCTGGTTGAGAGGGCTGCGAACCTGCACCCAGGGTTCCTGCAAACGGAGAACCCCCAGAACCGCGACCGAAGCGCCGTCGCTGACACGATCTCGGAAAAGCTTTGCCTCTTTTTCCTCAGGGACGACTCACTCGCTCGCCTGCCGCAGTCATATGAAGTCAGGGAAAAGCCTTTGGTTGCTGTAGATCCCCAAACTCTCGGTATGTAGCTTTTTAAATCTTCATAGCTATCTTATTTAGAATAAAATGGGAGGCAGGTTCGCTGATGCGATTCCCAGTTTGACTTTCCCTTTGGCTTAGTGATTTTGGGGCCCTGAGATTTATTATCCTTTCACACCTGCATCCTTCTTTACTTCTTTTCTCTCTTCCTCCCCGCTTTCTTCTTCTTCCTTCTCCTCCTTCTTCTCTTTTTCCTCTCTCTTACTATTTCTCTCCTTTTGCTTCTTTTCTTGTCTAGAGTCTAGACTAATACCATATTGGGAGGTTTTCAAAAAAGAAACTGTCTTTTTTTTATTTGAAGAAACAGTAGAATACTGTGTTTTACTTACTACACATACAACTATGTTATAGGAATAAAGGAAAATATACAATTATTTTAAGTATTTTCCTTTCATTTCCACTTCTATTGCATCCCTGAACTCCTTCTCCCTTTTGCCTTGGGTTCACAGTCATTTTTTTTGTGCCTGTAAGACCCTCAATATGCTGAGTATAGCAGAAGACAGACTGCAAGAATCTGAGAGGTTCTGATCATCAACATAAGAAATGGCAGAAAAGGACTTAGAGATTGGAAGAGTTTGGTCAGACAGAGATGAGGGAAGTAAGAAGAAAGTCAGGAGTTCTGTTAAATTTTGCAAATTGAAAGGTTTAAGAGATGTGGGTAGTTACTTTTGAAAGTGAAACTTTGAGGGAGTTTGGAAAGTTTTACTCTCTGACATGCAAATTAATTCTAGTACATCTTTAGGTGAAATGCAATACATGCCAGCAATATTCTCATTGTTTCATGAAGCTGGACTTCTACATTTTTTTTTTTGAGTGTGAGAAGTAGCACTAGTTTTACTAGATATACCTACTAAGCACATATCAAATAACAGGCACTCAATTTGGAGAAGTAATGTTGAATAAAGCATATGTAACAGATGATGCTTGTGGAATGAATGAACAATGAATCCATAAATCAATGACCATACTTGAAAAGTTAGAAAGTTTTTCTCCTCTGAACAGTCTGAGGGCAAGTGGCATACATTAGCCCTTTATCCCTAAATATTTTAATATGCATTTTTGTCAGAGTGAAAAATCATATAGTTTTAATTACTCTTTTAATCAATTTGATGGCTTTCTAGAGTGAATGTGGGGAGATTCAGAACTGGGTGGTTGCTATTGTTCTCCTGAGAGTTGTTTATTAATGAAGTGTTTTCTCATACATATATAACCAGAACAACACACTGGACATACGCCTATGTGCCCCTTCCTTACCTCTCAGGAAATCACAATTTGTAAGAGATCAAGCTCTCACGTTCATCATATTCTTTCTAATGTGCTAGTGGTATGAGCAGACCATGAAAATCGTTCACAAAATTATTTTCCTCATGTAACATTAATAGTAATAGTGGTTCCCTTCAAATCTTAACTCCTTCTAGCAGAAATGTACTCTCATTAAGCTATTCTCCACTAGTTAATTATCTCCTGTATCCAGTTCATCACAACTGCCACTCACTCCCATTAGCACCCCCTATTGTGTTCTCACGGGCCTGGGAATTCTGTTCTCTATTCCCCTCTCTTATACATGGGTCACTAGGGTGTATAAGAACAATGCCTGAGCATTGTTCTCCCTACTTTTCTCATGTATTAACTTTAGTCACATTTTTATAGTTTCTATTTTCCTAGTTTCCATCATTGTGTTAATTAGTCCTTCGCTTTCTTTTATATCTCAGTTCTGATTTTGACTCTTGTTCATTCTCTTTTATTTTTCCTTGCTTATGCTTACTGCAGTTTTCAAGGAAAGTGTTTAATATTAAAACTCTGAGGACACCAATGTATTGTTTACTGGCTCTTCTGAGAAGTTTTTCTAACTCTTAGAGGATTCCATTGGTGGTTCCAGAAAACAGGAGGAGGCCTGGAAGGATTGAAGTTTGTGTGAGTTTCCAAAGAACCTTAAGGGAGAATTTGCAAACTCATTACTGGCAGGTCAAATCTAAGCTGCAAGATTGGCATTTCTTTCTTCCTTTTTCTTTTAAAAAAATTGGCCCACACAGTAACTTAAACAACTTTCAATTAGTTTCCAGCATTTAACATAGAGATTTTGGCTTCTCTTTAAAATACGTGTCTGTAATCCTGCAGGGTAGCAATAAGGTGCAGCTGAGAAGCTCCTGACCTCTTTAGATGGGGTATATAATTCGGAGTTTGCCACAGTCTCCATCAGACCCATTTTAATCGTTTCTATTCCCTTCCTGACCCCTGTAGTCGTCGAATTTTTCACATTTGTATTAAAGTCTTAGGAGCAGCCTGTTTCGAGAGGTGGAGAACAGGGCCCTATCAAGGTGATAATTGTCCTCCAAGGACACAAAGAACTTGGAGTATTTCCACTGCGCTCCTTTGCCTTGTTCCCTACCTTTTGGTGATATTTTGTTGAAAATGACTGACTAACTGAAATATCAAGAATCGTGGTGATATCATAATTTTATAAACCTCTGAAAACTCAGCAGGCTTAGTGTGGAATTTGCATTCCTTTCAGCTCTTGACATTAAGAGTCGTAAGGGAGGAAGCAGTGCTCTGGCTTAGGCACAGTATTCTTGCAAAAGGCCAGGGCCAGACTCAAACATTTGACTTTGGTTTATTCTTTCACTTGGCGACGTTGCCATATTCTTGCTGCTATTGGATTGGCTATTTCTTTCTTTTCTTTTTTTTGAAACAGAGTCTCGCTCTGTCGCCCAGGCTGGAGTGCAGTGGCTCTATCTCGGCTCAGGGCAACCTCCACCTCCTGAGTTCACACCATTCTCCTGCCTCAGCCTCCCAAGTATGGATTGGCTATTTCTTAAAAGGTAGGTCATTAGGGGTAAGGAAGAAACAAAAAAGTTACTGCAATTGGTCAAAAATAAATAAATAACTTCATATTACAATCTAGATTAAAACTCTTCGTTGGACTCTGGTTGCATTTGAGGAATGTCACAACTCCTTGTTAGGTGCCCCCCTGCCTCCTCACTTCCCCCATTGTAGCTCCAGGATAATCTATACTACTCTATCCCATGTACTTCATGCAGACCTCTAGGCCGCCTTCAGATTTTCGACATCTATGTAGAATGCTTGGAAGCAGCCTGTTTGGGGAGGTTATGTCAAGTTAATAATTTATTCTAGAAGGACGGAGACCCCAGAGCAGGTTTCTCCACCACATCAGTCTCTTCCCTGCCTCAGGGACTGGGATTTGCTGTCTGTCTGCTTTCATTTTTAGCTCATCTCTTGAATTTTTCTTCTCAACTTTTAGGTCTTGGTTTAAATGTGCGGTCCTCAAAAAGATATGCGAACTGGAATAAATAAATAAATAATAAATAAATAAGAATAAATAAATGCGGACTTGCTGGGCATGGTGGCTCACACCTATAATCCCATTATTTGGGGAGGCTAAGATGGAAGTATTGCTTAAGGTCAGGAGATTGAGACCCACCTGGGAAACATAGTGAAATGCTCCTCTCTACAAAAAATAAAATAATTAACTAAGCATGGTGGCATGTGCCTATAGTCCTAGCTACTCAGGAGAATTGCTCGAACCCAGGAGTTCAAGGGTGTGATGAGGTATGGTCATGCCACTGCACTCCAGCCTGGGTGACAGAGCAAGACCCTACCTCTTAACAACAACAACAACAAGTGGACCACATATTGAATCCCTTTTGTGCCTTTGATATTTCCACTTCCAGTAATATAGTTTGTAGAGACAAATGATACTATTGGCATATATTAATTATTTTAACCATACATATAAATTAAGAGTGCCAAAGTATCAAAGAAGACTATAATTTACTCTAATCAAATATTGATACACTTTTCTTAAAATACGAATCATGAGTGCCGTCTACTCCAATTTCTAATAACCTTCACACTTGACTCCTTTTGGAGGTGTTAATAAATTTAAAAACCGGAGAGTACACCTCTCATGCTAAAAAAGCCCAATAAACTAGGTAGCGATGGAACATATCTCAAAATAACAAGAGCTATTTATGACAAATCCACAGCCAATATCACACTGAATGGGCAAAAGCTGGAAGCATTCCCTTTGAAAACTGGCAAAACACAAGGATGCCCTCTCTCACCACTCCCTTTCAACATAGTATTGGAAGTTCTGGCCAGGACAATCAGGCAAGTGAAAGAAATAAAGTGTATTCAAATAGGAAGAGAGGAAGTCAAATTATCTCTGTTTGCAGATGACATGATTGTATATTTAGAAAATCCCATTGTCTCAGTCCAAAAACTCCTTAAGCTGATAAGCAACTTCAGCAAAGTCTCAGGATACCAAATCAATGTGCAAAAATCACAAGCATTTTTATACACCAATAATAGACAAACAGAGAGCCAAATCATGAGAAAATTCCCATTCACATTTGCTACAAAGAGAACAAAATACCTACGAATCCAACTTACAAGGGATGTGAAAGACCTCTTCAAGGAGAACTACAAACTACTGCTCAAGGAAATAAGGGAGGACACAATCAAATGGAAAAACATTCCATGCTCATGGATAGGAAGAATCAATATTGTGAAAATGGCCATACTACCTGAAGTAATTTACAGATTCAGTGCTATCCCCATCAAACTACCATTGACATTCTTCACAGAATTAGAAAAAAACTACTTTAAATTTCATATGGAACCAAAAAATAGCCTGTATAACCAAGACAATCTTAAGCAAAAAAAAAGAACAAATCTGGAGGTATCACACTACCGGACTTGATACTACAAGGCTACAGCAACTAAAACATCATGGTACTTGTACTAAAACAGATATATATATTATATATACATATAATTATATATATATGGAACACAACAGAGGCCTCAGAAATAATGTCACACATCTACAACCACCTGATCTTTGATAAACTTGACAAAAACAAGCAATGGGGAAAGGATTTCCTATTTAATAAATGGGGTAGGGAAAATGGCTAGCCATATACAGAAAACTGAAACTAGAT